CCGACCGATGCTGTGTTGGTCATGATCCATGATAAACACTAATGCAATGGGGTCCCTGACGCTCGAAGCTGTGCCTCCTCTTGCTGCCCTATTATGAATGGTTGACGTCTAAAAGTTAGGAGTAAGTCCGTGGACGCATTTATACCTCTTATAACACACTTCGAAACACGAATCAGACGAAGGATCGCACTGGACGCATTTAGTGGCCTCTGAGAGTGTTGAATCCGCAATGGACATAAGAAGCACGTAGTAATGATAACAGCTAAACCAGTTATAATTCAACTACCCGAGACTATTCGGCTCGCAATAGCCGCCCTCCTAGAATCTTGAAAAGAATTAGATACACGTTACACGTAAGTAAGAAAAACCACAGTGTGTTTGTGGCGAGGCATGCCTCCGCACCAGAGAAAATGATATCCCCTCCCACCAAACCCCCGCCAGCTCTTTCATCTCTCCGCCGCGCCACTAGCGTTTTACAACAGGAGTAGCCCTGGCGTTGAAGGTGATCCCACGTCCATCCCCTGTGACCGTAACGGTTGAAGTTTGCGTAGAAACTTGCGTAACGGTCCGAGTTTCTGTGGAAACGGAAGGCGGAGGAGTAATTGTAACCGTCTGGGTTGACGTTGAGACGAGGCCTCCTTCCGTTACGGTGCGAGTCTCGGTAGAAGGCTCGGGGGTAAGTGTAACGGTCCGGGTCGACGTTGAGACCAGGCCTCCCTCTGTCACGGTGCGAGTCTCGGTGGAAGGTTCAGGAGTAATTGTAATCGTCTCGGTCGATGTTGAGACGAGACCTCCTCCCTCCGTCACGGTGCGAGTCTCGGTGGAAGGCTCAGGAGTGACCGTAATCGTCTCGGTCGATGTTGAGACGAGGCCTCCTCCTTCCGTCACCGTTGTTGTTTCGGTAGAAACAAGTCCGCATCCTTCAGAAGGCAGAGCTGTTACTGTGGTCCGGACGTAGCTCGTCCTAGTCGAGACCGTCGTGGATACGCAGTCAGTCCTGCCAGAGCCCTCGCCCCTGCCATCCTCTGTAACGGTGATGAACTGGGTCTCTGTGCTCGTAGACACGAGACCTCCTCCCTCTGTGATTGTGATATATTCGGTTTCTGTGCTCGTGGAAACGAGACCTCCTCCCTCCGTGATAGTGGTGGTTTCAGGAGGAGCCGTCGAGACGTGCGTGATTTGGACGGTCGACGGCTCGCAGGAGTTGCTCCGAGTTACGTATCTTACGTCTTCTTCAGTCGTTGTGGACACGGCAGTGATTGTCTGCAGGATGGTCTTCGTTTCAGGAGTAGGCTGAGGTGCTTGTACAATGATGGTCGTTGTCCCAGTCGCAAGTGTCTGGGTGACGGTGCGGATCGAGGTAATTATGGTGGTCACGGTCCGGCCCTGGGCATACACCGGGGCCAGTGCCGCTCCGATGGTCAGGAGAAGGCTTGTAGACCGCATGACGAAGGGCTTGCGTGAGGAATAGGATCGGAAGAAGACCAGCTTATTGGGGGGTTGAAGGGTGATTGTTGGTAGTTGGAAATAAACAGACTACGCGAACACTCGTAAGTCTTTGAGAATGGCAGTACAAGAAATGAAAGTACAAGCTTCAGATTGGGGAGGGGTATGAGGGGAAAATATGCAGGGCAAGGGGAGATATTAACGAGGTAATATGCCTGGAGGCAACAAGGAGGACAAGACTGGTGCCCATAGACTCTGCGCGCTTGGCACAACGTCGCAATAGATACTGCGGCTCGTTATTCCGTCGCGCCGGATATCAAATATGAATGCGGTGATTCCGGCATGAGAAAAACCCTCTCGAACCGTAAATACCAGGTAGCCATGGTACCGGATAATGGCTGCACACCCAAATAACGGATGCTAGGGAAGCAAAAGCGAAAAATCGTAGGCAAGTACGAGAATCCCAGATCCGAGAGATGGGTAAGCAGGGAGCTTTCATCACCCCGGCATCATACTATTTTGCATAGAAGTCAGGTAAAAAGATGCGGCGAGGGGCACTTTGTCGAAAGCGGGATGCGGGTGAAGATTGAGCCGAGGCATGGCGATCGGTTAAAAAAGCTATGCTAAAAGCCGGTGATGGTTAATTCAAGGACGGCACGATATTTATGAGTACTATACGGGCGAGTTTACCAATTCAGCCAGCAGTATCCATCGGCAATGTAATATATATACCATTCGTATTCTTAGTTTAGGAAACTGGACCACCACGGAGTCCGTCCCAGAACGGGAGCTCCTCGCCTTCACGGGAGCAACGATGCAGGGGCATATGACGCACCAGCCCGTTCGCATGCACGGCTCGGGAGGTTTGCTTGAGTAGGTTTAAAAATAGACTTAGGACAGGGAATTTCTTTGGGGAAGTATGCACAATGCGGTGATAGGGAGAAATGTGTCCCATGATAGGGGAAATATCATTAGTTTATTAGTAGATGAGTTCCTAGACCGCGGGCGCCGGGTTGCCGGCCGTCAGCTTACAGCAAAAGGTTGATACCACTTGCATTGGCGGAAAGGCTAGGAGGCCACCCCGCGTGCCTTGTCTACGGAATAATGTTTCGGCACCCTCGCATGGTTACCAGGGTGCAATAATTAAGGATTCAACGAGACGTCCCCCCAGGCTTAGAGAGATCGAAGGGAGGGCGCACCGGATGTCCGTCGGAAGCGGGATGGGGCCACTCTCCTTTATCCGGGGCAGCGAATACGAGCACGAAGTCGAAGAAACTTGTTCCGATCTGAGACTAACGTTCACATCAATATCGTAAATCTCAACTTTGCGCGAGGTTATGGGGGAATACCACGCCGCGGTCTCAGGTCCTATATTGGTGGTGAAGGTCAACGCCCAGCTGCGATACTTTTTCATACACGGAGTTCAAAGCGCTCAATTCAAATTTTGGGTGGTGGAAAGGGAGTCTAACCCTACATGTGTGTTCCGGAACCTGGGGTTATAAGTTTTGTAGATGGCATCTCGGATCTCGGGGCCGGTATCAAACATTGCCGCTGGACTTGGTGTGCTGGTCGCGGCTCGTGACCAAGCCCCACTTTTTTCGGTAATAATTGAAAGGAATGCTGTAGAAGTTAAGTTACTTGGCCGGCGCTTCGTTGCAACTACTACACACGCGGATCCTCTGTCATACCCGTATAAGTCCATCAGTTGTGAAGCCATCGAGAGCGTCGCGCCACGTCTCGTGATACAGCTCGAGACCCCCGATTGAGAGAGCTACTCGTCCTTAGGCATACTACTGAACCGTAAATCTGGATTTATATGCTACCGTTACTAAAGCTGTCTTGACGTATCGACGAATCGTATCGACAATATATTTCCAATTTTGGTCTGTAGTAAGTCGGTGACGAGGGCCACGACGGCGCAAACGAAAAGCCCCTTGCTCCCAAAGACATCTAGAGCTTACAAACAGCTTCCAACCGCCATCCATCCGGATCAACAAGAAAAGCCGCGAAATAAGTCGGCCCGTAGTTCTCCCTCAGCCCGGGCAAACCATTGCTTGCGCCCCCGCTCTCCACGCCCGCGGTGTGAAACTCCTCGACGGCCTCCCGGCTCGGTGCGTTGAAGGCCACGTGACTCCCCCTCCCGGGCGGCGAGGCCGCGTCGCCGTATTCGAAAATATTAACGACTTCGTGGCTGGTGTCCGGACCGTAGCCGAGGGTCGCGACAGAGTGGCCTGGTGGACTCTCGTAGACCAGGTGCAGCCCGAGTGGGGCTAGGACGGCGGTGTAGAAGGATTTACCCTGGGCGATGCTTCGGACGCCGATAGAGATGTGACCGAGGATTTGGTGGTGTTCAGGCATTATTGGTAGTGGCGAGGCGTAAACCCTGAGGTGTACAATAAGCAGCGTTGTCTGGGATAGGACGTTAATCTGGGCGATGCTGCGTAGAATAAATTTACGAAATAGAATACGGCCGTGCGATGGGAGAGGCTACTGTACACAAAGACAGGGAGCTGGAACAAGAGAGGTCAACTGCGGGGACGCCCTAACTCGTGGGAGAGGAGTCGTCGCCGTTTCTATATCATTGGTCAGTGCATGATGATGCAAGGCTTGGCTCTCAGAGACGCTAGACGCCAGCGCCAATTGGACAACCAAGCTTTCCCGGAAGAGATACGAGTGCGAGACGGCCTTAAACAGGACAGAGTGCTTTGACGAAAGGTAGGCTAGGCTACCTCGAATCGCATGATGTCATTTGGAACACGATACATGTATCGTAGGCAATGGCATATGGCGAGGAGGCCGGGATGTGGGGACTCGGTTGGATGCTCAACAGACCGGTGCACTGGGAAGGGCGCTTCGTATTTACGATGAGAGGCTTAATTTCCTTCTAAGAAAGACCACCAACAATATATCTTAGCGATAGTGATGGACCCCCGTTAGGTTGGGTCGGAACGCCGTGTCGTTCTTGCTAGATGTCTCGTGCCCGGTGCCTAGAGGAGAATCGCACAGGGCCAGGGGCCGAGGGGCAGCAACTTCAGCTTCGTCTCTCGATCTTTCTGAAGTGGGAAGTCCCATTAGGGATTCTATGGGTGTCCTCGGCGCATGCATCACGCATATATTCTATCGCGCTTTCTCTGCTCTATCTCGTGATAAACTAAGACGACGAGAATGTGATGGGCGTGACCTTAGTCTCATTCGATTAAAGCCTGACGGATCCTCTTGTACGCCGTTTCACCTACAAGAGAGAGACAAATACGGGCGGGTTCCCGCTCTCAACGCCACTGTTCCTTTCTTATCCCTCCAGAAAATAAGACATGGAGATGGGGTTGGAAAAAGCCACCCCCAGAACGTATTTCTCCTGTCAGTGGGTGCATAACCTGCAACAAGAGTCGTGCTCGATACGATGAGTGGAATCCGACTGGGTATGTTTCGCCGGACCCATCTTGAACCAAGAATCTATGGTGTTGTATGAAGAAGATATGGTGGTTAGTGGCAGGGAAGTATTACGCCGCTGTTGCTACTTAGGACCTGCTTAGTGTGTCGTTACCATAAGCACATCCCATATAGTGTAGGGGTTATCATACTGCCCTCTCACGGCAGAGACCGGGGTTCGATTCCCTGTGTGGGAGTTAGCTTTTTTTTTTTCTTTCTCATTTTGAGGGACAACCCACGGTGGTATCGCGAGGGTAACTCCGTCCGTGTTGTGACGACAGGCTAGACTCTAGCCCATGGCCAGGGGACCACTCCATCCAGAGATAAACTTCTGGGACTGCTAGACTTACGATGTAAAGGGCACAGTCTAGGCATGGATTGACGAGTACAAAGTGCTTTGTAAATAGTGTTGGGCTAAAGATTTAACTACTCGTACGAGCAATAGTGGAATATTTGGGGCTTACCTTTAACGGAGATGGCTGTAAAACTTGTAAATTTTAGGGCGAGCAGAATAAAGTGGGGCCAGCTGGCCTATGGTGGTGTGAAGGAACTGGTGGCTCCTGGTGGACAGCCAATCAGGCCGCTTCCATTCCTGGCTTTCCAGGCACACGCCCCGCTAACCGGGAAGCGGGACAGGCGGTCGGAAGGAGCCGGTACGGGTATGGCGCAGGTCAGGATGACCACGCCATGGCCCCAGAAAATCGGCCCATGTCGTCGACCACCTCATGTTCACGATAAACGCCGGAAAGGAACAAAGAAGACAGACGCATGGGTGGGGGAATGACGTAGAGGGAAATAAATTGATTTATATACTCGCAGAACCCTGAGCTGCGAGGAAGCAAATGCTCAAATATATTGCATCATCTCGCGCAACATATTGTGACCTATCACACTTTCATCAACAACCACTTACACACGCCCTCACCTCGAAATTGCACTCGCTTTCGGAAAGATGAGCACAAGCCCGGTAAATAGTGGCGAAACGCCGCTCCCGAAGATGGTGATCCCCAAGGGCCGTCTCGTAACCCACGTCAGTCGCGAAGACTTATACACGAGCCTCGAGGCGAGGATAAAATATCTCCACAGCTTTCTCGATTTCAGCAGCAGTTAGTTGCATCCCATCCTCCACCCTGGTCTTAACCTAAACACTTGGGTGGTTTTTCTCCATTGCGTCGCTAACATGTCGCTACTCGGACAGATGATATCGAAGCACTGATATCAGGGTCGAAATACATCAAGGCGCTCATCCCGGCCGTTGTGAACATTGTGTACAAGAAGCTCCTGCAGTACGATATCACCGCGAGAGCATTTACGACCCGGAGTACGAGCTTCGAGGGCCCAGTGGATGAACAGCCCGACGAGTCGAGTCCGCAGATCCTTCATAGGAAGATGTTCATGCGGGCGTACCTCAATAAACTCTGCGCGGATCCTTCCAAGATGGAGTTTTGGGAGTATCTGGACAAAGTAGGGTAAGAACTCAGGAGACTGTACACCAATCTACAAGTGACTTTTAAGGCTATGTTATGTCAAGACCACATGGGCTAACGTCGAGACAGGATGATGCATGTCGGCCTGGGCCGCGCGCACCCACTCCATGTGGAGTACATCCACTTAGGCGCCTGCCTCTCCTTCATCCAAGATATTCTCACTGAGGCCATCCTCTCCCATCCCCGCCTACACCTACAGCGCAAGGTCGCCATCGTCAAGGCCATAGGGAAGGTGATCTGGATACAGAACGATCTCATGGCAAAATGGCATGTCCGGGACGGCGCGGAGTTTATCAGGGAGGAAACGGAGGTCGTTATCGAGAAGGAGGGATATCTCCACGGGAAGAAGATTCTGGATTCGGAAGAGATGGAGGAGGCGGGGAGCGGCTGTCCATTTAGTGGGGTGAAGAAGGCGATGGAGGGTCTGGAGGTGGGCGGAAAGGACTAGACGAAGATTGAGGCTTCGTAGGTCTGGGATTCGCCCTGTGTATACTACTAGCCTTTGATTTTACAGCGACAGCGGACTCAACATACTCCTCACATAGCTCTCAGGTCGAGTTGACGGAAAGCGTAGGACGAAGTAAGGACTCGGGACATGAAGTCCCATATCATGATGGTAGAAAAGTGCGTGAATTATGTACGATTGCATTAGAGTCTAAGAGTATGATGCTCGAAACATGGGGTATCGCGTTGAACGGATTGTCTCATAAGTGCTTGGTGGGTGTGGGTAGCAATAGCATGAAATGCAAAATGTGAAGGCTCAGTTGGCTTTGGAGGGGGTTGTCCCCGAGGGGCCAGGTCTTTCCGTCTCGTTACTACTGGATGGCGTAGCTTCGGGAGGAGGTGGCGGCGCCTCCGCTGGAGCGGGCGGTAACTCCGAAGGTACCGCGGAAGAACTAGCGGAGGGAACGGCTGCGGGGATCACGGGTGTGTCAACAGAAGGGCTGGCCACTCTGGAGATGTCTGCGACAGACGGAGGTGCGGTTCCCCCCACTTCGGAGACCGGTGATACTGAAGGTTCCACCGAACGAGTATCCGAAGAAACGAGTGAGAAGCCGGCGCCGGGAACCTCCAGGGGATTGGCAGGAGGGCTAGCTGGAGGGCCGGAAGCAGGGACTGCCGGCGCACTCCCGTCCGGAGGGGGGATCCCGCCGTGGACCGCCGGGAGCTGGGGAATCGGTCCAGCGGGGGTGTACGCCTGTGCCATCTGCGGCGTGTACACCTGTGACATCTGCGGCGCGTACGCCCCCGACATCTGTGGCGCGTATGCCTGCTGTGGCGGCAACACTGGCGGGAGGGTCCCGCCATACACAACCTTCTCTGAAGCGGGCCCACCGGCCGTGGCCAAGGCCTTCGCCATGGCGATCTCCGCCTTGCGCTTCTTCCTCGCCTCCCTCTTCCCCTTGAAGCAGCAGCAGCCCTTGAACCAGAGGAAGAACACGCAGAGAACAATGATGCCGACGACGACTAGTACGATGATAATGATGACAACAATGAAGAGCACTGGGGCCGAGGACCCGCGGTCTCCGCCATAACGGCGGGACGCGTCTCCATTGCAGCTGTAAGACGAGTAGCAGTTGGAATTGGGCTCGACGTCCTCAGAGTGGGGGATCTGGGCCCCGTAGCTCGAGAAGGGAACGATGTTCCCTGAGTCACTCGCCGCGCTCGTAAGGACCACGGGGGCGAAAGCGACTTCCTCGTTCACCAGGTCGAAGGCGGTGTATGTATTCCGGAGCATGAAGCCCCCGAGCGACCACGGTCCCAAGGCGTCCTCAAAGCCGGGTGTCTGGCTTGAATCAGGAATGTTCTGAATCGCAAACATACAAGTCCCCTCTCCTTCGGTGGCGTTGCTAGATCGTGACCCCCAAGGCGCCAGAGACTGCGGGATGATGAGATCGTCGAAGGGAATCTTCACAGTGACAGCGCCCGTGGAGCCCAGCCCGAGGACGAGGTCCGACGCGGAGCTCTTTCCGCCGGAGCACGGGATTGTCGCGGCCGAGGTGAGGGAGTCGTACGTCGCGCCCGCGAGGGCCCAGACCTTCTTCGCGATCGGGAGGGGGAAGTTCGTGATCATATTTTCGGGCTGCATGAGTAGCACCGGCAGATCGTACTCCGTCGCAATAACCTCCGGTTCCCCACCGTTGGGATGGGTGAAGTTGAGGATCGTGAGGTCGAGGGCTAGGCCGTAGTACCCCGAACTCTTGGTGCTAGCGGCGATGCGTTGTAGGGTACCTTCGAAGGCGGAGGTGTCGACGGCGCCGAAGAGGATGTTCCCAGACGATGCCTCGCTGTTGTCGAGCCAGAAGCTGAATCCTCGCGATGTGGTGATACTCTGCTCCACGAGGAGTTCGGTGAAGGTCAAGTCCCCCATCGTTGATGTTCCGATAGCGAGGTCGCCCTGTTTCATGTTGCCATAATCGCCGAGACCGATAGTCATGTTCGTCAGCTTGACATCACCCATTCGGAGGGTGTCTTGGAACGTGGGGCCGGACATGAAGCTGCCGTCGGTATAGCTGAGGGAGAAACTGGTACTGAATTCGGACTCGAAATATGACGACGACGCGGAAGAATTAACTGCGTGCCACGAAGATTGCGGTGTTAGCGCCGGTCCCTAAATATCAACGTCACCGGTTCCCATCCCATCTATACTCCAGGAGGGCAATTGTAACTCACACGATCCCCCAGGGCAGGCGGTCGAACCGAAGGAGTCGCAGTTGTCGATGGTTGGGACCCAGGAATAATCCCCTCCCATCGAGAGAGCGAGCGACAGCTCCTGCGGCGGCGTACCGATTGAGACATCGACCGAATACTTCATGTCCGCGCCTTTGAACCCGGCACCCAACTCGCGGCGGTCCAGGGATGATGAGCTGACGGGCCGGTGCGCAACGGGGAGGCGCAGTTGCGCCACCGCCGTGGCTGCGAAGACAGCTACATTGGTAAAGAGTGAAGTCCTCATCGAGGATGAGGGGGGGAGTGAATTAGGTAAATTAACGAATGTCGGCGGTGTCACCGCATAGTGGGCGAAAACGAGTGTCGGAAAGAAAAAAATGAAGCCTAGAATCGTGAGAAACCACGACGAGAGGGGCGAGGAGATGGGGGGAGATCATAAATATTGGCCCTAGGGTCCTAGCGCGCTGGTAGTATGGTACGAGGTAACATTAGGGTGACAGCTTCTAAAATTGGACTAGGGGGCGACAAGGTGGCCAATAGAATGCGGAAAACTTCGTATTCTAGGCACCAGTGTGGAAAATGCCGAGATACGCTCGATTCCGGCAATTCGGCTCGCATCGTAGGAGAGGAAACGACAGGTTGTGGCAAAATTGTTCAAGGAGGTACACCGTATTCGGCACCTCTTTCCTTTTCACTCTTCAAAGGAATGATTATGAAATACGAGTCATGGATGACCTGGTCATTGACACTCTCCTCTCCCAGAGGGGGAGGATGAGCATCGGCAGAGATGCTTGCATGAGTGTGTAAAATTCCATGCGGATCCCATCCGATACAGCCAGCCAATAGCAGTCTCGTTCCAGAAGCCAATTCCATAAGGCCATTTTTACACAAGGACCAGGCGTATTTCTCCTATTTTGGTGTATAAGCGCCCCGCAGCCTCTTATCCATAGCACCTACAAAGTAACCATTAGCGGGCAGCTACGCACGAAGGAAGATATGCAGGTGCACCAGCAAGATCCTCTTCACACAGTCACCACCGA